CTTCTTCATGTGTATGCAGCGCATTTCTCCAGGTTCAGTTTTGAGGGCTGAATATGTATAGAAAAGTAACCAACAGGATTGTAGATGTATAATAATTCTAATTATATGACTTTTAAATTAGAGGGTTATAATGAGGACCTTATGGTCATAAATAGAATGAGGATAAAATTCTAAAATTTTTGATACCTATATTGAGGGTATTTTGCACAGATGAATTTTTATCTGTTAATTTTGACTGCTGAGGTAGTAATAGTTAGTAGAATAGCTCCAAGTTAGAAAATTATAGTTAGAGAGCTAATCTAATGATATAAACATCATGAATGAGATTAGGATATGATTTGATGAAGATTGATACCCATATTGGGGTATTTTTGAAAAGTCACTTCTGCCGGGTATTTTGTCCTGCTGTAGCAGCAGCCGGTAGAATCCCAAAACGGGAAAAAGATAAGAAAATAAAAATAAAGACCAATATATGCCCAACAAGTCATAATTAGACCAAAAATGTTAAAGTTAAGAAGATTATGAAATCCGGGTACAGTTAAGAACACCGGTAAAGACTATCGTGCAATTAAACAACTGTTAGTGGATCTGTGATCTACTAATCAAATTTTTAAGTTATGAACATGATAATTAGACAAAACTAATGTTGACTACTTAAAGTTAGAGTCTTGGGATTTTCCGGGAAAAAACAATTTGACGACGGATCAGTTAAAAATTACACCGGGTCTCACTAAAAGACGAATGGTCACTTAGTGACATGGCACCCCTAATTAGGGCACCTTTCCCCCCATTTTTCTGATCAGATTTGCAGCCCTCATTTCTCCTTCTCTCTCTAAATTTCAAACTTCAAACTTTGCTCTCGCTTCTCTCTAAGATTTCATCTCCAAAACCTCACCAGATCTCCTTCACCAAACTTGTTCCCCTCACTCCCCTCTTCACAATCATACCATCTTCATGGTGTGGATCAAATTTTCGAGTTCCTCATCCCCAAACACAGCCATGTTTTTAAAGGTTTTGAGAGCCATGAAGTTGTGTTCTTGAGTTCTCTTGAAGAAGAACACTTGCTTGCTTGGTTCCTTTGATTTCTAGTGTAAGTATCTTGAATCTTTTTCTTGAAATATCCCACCTTTGAGTTGTGTTCTTGAGTTCTAACTTTGAGCCTTTCTTAAAGGTGTGTTCTTTGTGGAAAAGATATATCCTTGCTTGAGAAAAGTGGAAGCTTGAAGCCTTGGAGCTAACTTGAAGAAGTAAGCATGATTACTTGGAGAAATGTTGACCAAAATGCTTTCCCATCCACCTATATGATTCAGCCATCATGAGTTTTCTGTGGGGTTGATGTTTTAATTTGATAAAAATGGGTTCTTGAAGTTCTAAAGTGTTGATAATCATAAGTGGAACCAAGGGAAAGGTTAAAAATGCAACCTTTAATCTTTAGAACACTAGTTATGACTAAGGAATGGATTTGAACCCTAATAATATCCCTTAATCAAATCTATCCTAAATAGTATGATTAGGGTTTTATGTTTAAAAAATTAATTCAATGATGGATTAGTGGACTAATTAAGTGTAGGACTTAATTAACTAATGAAATGACTAAGAAATAGGCTTAAAAATACTAATATAAACACCTAAACAATTCATCCATGTAGGTTTAAATTAGGGTCACTATGTTAAAATTAATATTAAGACTTAATTAGGATATTAATTTAGTGGTTAAGTGAAGTGGACTTTGCATAATACACTAATTAATGATTAAACTCTAAAATTAGACTTAAGTAGGGTTTAGGTGCACTAATCAAGCAATTAGTGAACTTTAAATATCATGACATAATGTGACTAAGGGGATTTCATAAAGTGACTTAATAATAGAAAAATCCAAAAATTAAAGTGAATTAGGATTTATAATCAAAAGTAATTAAGGTTTGTTAAGTAAACACATTTAGAGCTAAATAACCAGTTTTTAGGCGAAATTGAAGAGAGCATATCTCCCTCCACAGAGGTCATATAGGGCTATGCCTTATAACAACAAAATTTGGTATCAATTGAAGATGTATTCCATTCTGTATGTTTGTTTAAGTGAGGACTGCACGGGGAGGCCATGTGTAGGGGCTGTACATGGCTGCAACTTCCACTAATTGTTTATCCCTGTGTTCTTACTCAAACTAGTCTCATAATATGTCTAATTAAAGATAAATGTGTCTAGTTGTCTACATAAAAATTGGAGAGCAATTGGTTTAGTAGAGTTTCCAGAATCGCAGAAATGGTAAAGGATGTTTAGGGCTCTGTTCGGAGTTGGCAAACAACTTTGCTTGTCCAACTCCAAATGGTGATAACCAGAGCTAGGAAACTCCAAATGAGGCATGTGATACCTTGTTGGAAATTTAATTGAGTATACATTAACATAATAAAAGATGAGAATTTTATAACAAGTGAGTTGCGCTCAGTGACTAGAAAACAGAAGCATGTACAGTTATGGAAAAACCGTAAAAGTGATATTTAAGCTAAGTGGGCTTATGAGAACCCTTAGTAACTTATAATAATCATATATATGGCTTGGATGTGTTGAAAATAATCTAAATTACCTAAGTGAGCCTCACATGTGTGATAGCGACTCGGCAAGTGCACCGGTCGTAAAGTAATAAAGTGTACCGGAGTACGAGATCGTTCCCACGAGGATCGGAATTTCAAGCACTAGTTCACTAATCGCGGTTTAGTTGGACAATCAAGAATAAGATGAAGAGAATTGTAATTAAGAATTTAAAATTAAAAGTAATAACATAAAAATTCAGAATTTAAAAGAATAATTGGAAAAGATGATGGATTTAAGAATTTAAAAACAAACGTAGTTAAGGTTTCGACTTCCCCCAATCTCCTCAGTATGTTATGAATTAAACTATCAAGAACCTTTTCTTAATATATTGTCAATCAATTCTTTCTAAGTTAATTAGGGCTCAATTCCTTGTTACCCTAAATCTATGTGATCTTGAAAGAACTCTAGTTCCCCGATTATTCCCCAATAAAACATGCATTAATATCAAGAATTCCAAGATTGCATAATTACCCTATGTCTATCCCCTAGATCACAAGGATTATGATAAATTCATCAAGTAAGGGTTCATGCACCAACATCCCTATTGTCATACAATTCCCCAAAATCATTCTATAAGGAGCAAACTCATAAAATGCATTGAAAACAGATAAATTTATTCAATTATAAAAAGAAAGGGTTCAGAGACAATTTAATTCATAAACATAAGGATTCGATTGGGTTCCATCTACCCTTAACTACATAAAAGACTACTCAAACATACTGAATTGAAAAACAACAATAAAGAAAAGAGAACTCCAAGCCTCCATTGGTGTGATGTTGACTTGGTTCCTCAGTGTTCCAGCACTCCGCAACAGGATTCCTCCTTCAAGCTTCGCGTTCTGAATTGGTCTATGAAAATTTGGTGTCTTGTTCTGCTCCCAAGCTCCTTATTTATAGCCTTTGGAGTTGTTATCCTTCATTGTATCTTTCACCGTATCCATATTAGATTTGTAATTGATTCTCCAATTGTTTCCTTTTTGTAATTAATATCTTGTGGATTGTTGAGAGATCTGAGCTTTGAATCTTGTTATAATCTTCCATCAATCTTCTCAGGAATCAGCTTTGATATATTTCCTTTTTAGTTCCATATCATAATTGGAAAAATCTTCATTAAATCTCAGCAAATCTTGGTGAATCTTTGCTGTCTGGGACGTGTTTGGGCGCTCAAGCGTGCTGTTGTGCGCTTGAGCGTGCAAAACTACTGAAATTTGTTGTTGCTGTCTGCCTTGGAGCGCTCGATCGTGCTACTGGGCGCTCAAGCGTGCTCCTCGAGTTATAATTTATGTATTCTTGGGCGCTTGAGCGTGCTGTTGTGCGCTTGAGCGTCCTGATGTGTCCAGTTTGGCTGTTTTTACTGCTTCCAAACGCTCGAGCGTCCTCTTGTGCGTTTGAGCGTGCTTTTCTGGACCTTGAAGTGTAATATTTTGGTTTCTTTTGATCCATATTGAGCTGCTACTTCTCCGCCATGATTTTTTTAGCACTTTTAGCACCAATTCTTGTGGTTTTACCTTCAAAATGCAAATATTATCAAAGCGTCAGCTCAATTTCCTATCTTATGACTTATATGTTGTAAAACCTTGAATTTCATGGAATCTATGATATATTTCTCATATAATTTAGCCTAAAAACATGGTAAACCAAAGGTTTATCAAACATTCCCAGATTTGAATATTGCTGTCCTCAACAATCAATTAGAATAAAACTAAGGGAATAGGGAGTAGGTGTAACACCCCGCGTGATTAGGAAAAATATATAGGTGCGATGAGGAACGTGGAAGCACATATTAAATTGAAAATATATGTATATTCTTGCATGCCTAGCTTTCGAAAATTATATAGTTATTTTCTTAGGGTGGAATTAAATTGATTTGGTGAATTGTTTGAATTACAATAATAGGTGAGAAGTTATTTTAGGCATAAGAAACTTTAGTCAAATGATACAAGAATAATTTAGTAGTGACATGTAGAAGGAAATAAAATATTTAAAAGACATGGAAACCTTTCAACTAATGGGTTGGTTCATAATATAACAAAGCAATTGGACTTAAATATTTTGGACCCTTGGTGTGAGTGGCCGACGGCCCAAGGTCATTAAGTAGGGAAATGCTTCAGCCCATCTTCCTAATTTGTTATCACCTCATCTTGAGATTTCCATTAGGCAGCCTTTAATTGGGTAGAAATCACCACATGGCATAAACCATCCTTATTTTTCCCCCTTGTGCGCTGAGGACATGCCAAATTTCTGATCCTTGTTTGAAATTATGGACATAGCAAGTCAGCCTTCTTGTCTCCACATGCAGCCAATGAAGAGAGGGCAATCTTCTTGCATGAAATCTCATTGGTCAAAAGCCAAAAATCTCACACTCATCCTTATCTCTCCTTTGTGCGCATATTGGGTGTAGAACCAGAAAATTTTCTGGTCTTTACCTTAAGCATTACACTCAACAAGTCCTCTTTCTTTTTCCTCTCTATGCGCTAATAAGTGAGAAAACAAACTGAATACTTATTACAATTTTTATAAAGCAAACTCAGCCATTATTTCCCCCCACAGAACCGTGAACTCCTTAAGAAATGGCAACACACTTAAGCACATTTTCCTCCTCCTCTTCACCTCCCAAAGCCGTAGACCACTTGGAGGAGAACACAAAGAGAAAAAAGAAAAATTTGCGTCCTTCCTCTTCTTCCCCTCAAAACACGTGAGACTTTTAAGGAGGAGACCTTCACATAAGCCTCCATTTCCTCTTCCCTCTTAATTCGGCCAAGAGTCTATAAGCATGAAGGTGTGGTATTTTCCTTAGTCCTTTGTTCGTGCATTCCTCCTTTCGGCTGATGAGGAATTCCTCTGCATGCAGAACCAAACTTAAGTTCACAGCCACCTCTTCCCCTCTCTGCCCGGCCAAAGCAACCATCATCAAGGAGGTGAGGTGTTTCCTTTATCTCCTTGTTAATCTCCATATGAATTGGTCCTGTTTGAACCTCCTCCCCTTGCATGCAGCATAAGCTCGGCATGTTGGAACATTAGAAAAGTGGAGTTGATATTATTTTTCTGATTTGCGAGTTGTCTCAACACAAAGAGGTAAAGACCAAATTCCAAACTCCTTTTTCCTTACTGTTGCGGTCTGCATGTATAGACTTGGGAGATGTTTTCTGTTTTCCATTACTTGCTCTCTCTTTTTTTCGGCCATCACTGGAAGAATAAGAGAATGTATTCTTTTGGTTTTTCCATCCATAAATTCTACCAGTGGACCTCTTGGACCTAGGATTTAAAAGAAATACAAAACAGAATATCAACTTTAGAACCTATAAATAGCTCCCTTTTATATTTTGGTGGACTTTCTTATGTGCCTAGTCTTACTTAAAATTATATAAAGACAACATGCTGCAAGATTTTTTTAGTGCACCTTGATGTTAAGGGGAGTTGGCATGAGTATAGACTGTTTTATCACTTTTTGCCATATCTTCATGTTCGTCCATCCCATGTAGAATCAGAAATATTTTCCTTTGGCTTTTCATTCATAAATTCTGCCCATGTTGACCGATTCGGATTTACCTCTTAATCACTCATAGAATGGTCTTGAAACTTGGTAGTAGCTCTCTTGCGTAAATTGTTTTTCTGTTTTGGTGAGCATTGATATGTACCATGTTTGATTAAGTATACAGCATGTAGTTAGGCCTTCCTTCACGCACCCATGGCCTTGTTGAGTTAATATTTTAAATGTCATGTGCTCCTTGCGTACTAAAACCGATTTTGTTTTGATTTAGTCATTGGAATTCCTCACTGTTAGCTAGGGGATAATGTAATTGGAAACCGGAAAATTGAGTAGGAAAGAGCTATGAAGGCCGTATGGGCTCAAGAGTCCCTGAGTATAGAAACTTGTTGGTAACTTATAGGAATAGCATGGAACGTATTCTGATTGGTTATACTTGTATATAGGGGCGCACATTTCGTGAGTTGTGGACTTTTCAATGCTGCCCGGTAAATTTACTGTGACGTGTGAGGTAAGTGTCTGGCGGTATTACCTCTTGTGACTGCTAGCTAATACATGAATTGTGAACATTGCTCTCATGTGCCTTGGTTCTGAATTTTGTATATGATAATGGGATTCTTCTCATGGTCTTGCTTTGCTGAATACTTTGTTTTGGAGAATTATTGGTTATTCAGCACTCTGATATTGGAAATCCATGAGATATGTATCTTGGTTATGTATATGGGTTCTGCTTTGGACTTGAAATGCTGCTTATTCTGTTTTGATTATTCTGCAGCATCTTGATATTGAACCTATACGCTATATGAAATCTTGAATATTATCTAGTCATGCATGTACATTCATAATTTTTATTTGTATGTTGCGTGTGAACCATGACATATCATACATGCACAAGTTTCATGTTTGTAAGTGGAGATGTTTTCGAAAACTATGCATATGATTGAGCACGCATCATGTAGGCATCCCTGCGGTACCAGGGTATGGGACACTTGGCTTCAGTCCGCTTAGGTTACAGTTGGAACCCTCTGAGGAGCCATTAAGGAAGGGACCTCCACTGTACTTGTGTGTACAGGCACGACAGTGCTGTACATTTTAGGCGTTATATAAGCATCTTGACTAGTATATTTGGCGTTATATACGCATCTTGATTAGTATATTTGGCGTTATATACGCAATATGATAAAGTTTAGTATTTGTCGGATTTAACTTGATGATGCGACTGTTTTGTAATTCTGTATTTAGCTAGTACTGTTGCATTACTGGTTTTGTTGCCACACTACTGGAATTTTTCTCACCCCTTTGGGGCTGCTATTTTTACAAAATGGCAGGAGGACGGAAGAGCATATGAAGTCATGATTATATGGATATCTGCTGTGATGTGCTGCTGTTTGGACTTTTGTTGTTGCTGTTTATTTGATGGATAACTATATTAATTTGAAAAGTTTGGATTACCGTTGGATTATGATTTTACTACTGTTTTAAGACTTTTATGATCAGCAAATATTTTGGAAACAAATTCTAGAAGCATTTTGCGAAAATAATTCTGACGTTTTAATTAAGTGTTGATTTGTAAACAGTTTTGCGAGCACTTTGCGAGTTATGTTTTGAGGGGCAAACAAACTCCGAATTACCATTATTTATATGCACGCGAAGCCCCAGACGTGCTCTTTCTAGATCATATGGAAACAAATTTTGAATCATCGAAACTAATTTTATACGAATTTTTAAAGACAGCCACGTCTGCCAGGAAATTACTATTTTCAGCAAGTTAAGAAATTTTGAAAGTATACTCTGATTTTTTGTAAGGAACTCGATTTCAATTACAAGTTTTAATTAGCAACATCAAAATGAATTTTCAGTACTTAAAATATGACAAAAGAACTCTAATTCCACTTAGGAAACAACTCTCTTGGAGGCCTACAAGGGAGGGTGTTATAGTAGGAATCTCAATAGCATGGAATTTGACAGGAAGGATTCATTAGAGACCTGATTACAGAGCATTCAGACTAAAGATTAATGCATCAATCAGTTAATTTCATAATTCCGCAGAAAATAAATTCTTAAGATCAAGAACCAAGGAGAATTCCTTTAGCACCCCCTCACTAGGATTTCAATTCACTTCACGCTCAACTGTTTAGAGGGTTGGTGTTTCACTCAAATTCCACTGAATAAGACTACCATAGGCTTGCTCATATTCTAGCTCTCCATAGTATTGTGACATATCTCACAGATCAAGAGGTCTTTCGTATGGTTATAACTTAGTCTGGTTAAAGGAAGGAAAAATTTAGAGAATTAGCTGCAAGTTTAAAATCCAGATTTAAAGAGGAATAAATGTAATCGTTTACAATTTGTAAACAACTTTATTTCTTCTTTTCAGTCCATTCTTCTTCTTTTTCTTTTGAACTCTTCTCTTGTTTGTCGTTTTCTTTTCTCAAAGCAATTTTTCTTTATTTCTTTTCACTTCTTTTCTTTTTCACTTTCTGAGTATTTTTCCTTTTCTTTGTTTCTTTCTCTGTTTCTTTCTAACCAAACTTTCTTCCTTGGCTTTTTCCCTTCTCCCTTTTCGTACTTCCATACATCACAATTTATATATTCAACGATTAACATTTGTTCCTCAATTTAAATCTGAAAATTAATCTCAAATAAGGTGAGGATTTATATGGAAAGTCGTTCTCTTGTTGTTTGTTTCCTTTTCTTCACCTGTAAAATTCACTCATTGATAGCCATTAGTCTCAACACCTCTCCTATATTTTTGTATTTTTCTCTTTATTTAATTCAAAGTAAAAATAACTAAAACAGTAAAATTAAAATAAAACAGTAAAGTATGGGTTTGCCTACCCATTAGCGCTTGTTTAACATCACGAGCTTGACGTACCTTATCTACTTTCATGGTGGCTCAAAGCATAAGCTTGGTGATGACCAAGCTCCATCATTCAGAAAGTGTGACCTCCCATAGTGCTCTTGTGCAAATAAATGAGATGGTGTAGCCTCAAGAACTTTGAATTTGGTATTTATATGTTTTCCCTTGCTCATCGGCTTTTCCATCTTAACTTTAGGCTTACTTTCTTGAGAAGACTCCTCATTGTGTTCTTCTTCACCTTTCTTTTCTCCGATATAGTATACTTGATCTTCCGGTTGAGCTACAGATGAGGGGACTTTTTTGTCAAAGAATTTGAAAATTGCTTGCTCTCCGTCTACCCGTAAGATCAGCTCACCTTTAAGTACATCAATCAGTGCTCCTGAAGTTGCCAAGAAGGGTCTTCCAAAAATCATAGGAATAGTGGTATCTTCTTCAATGTCAAGGATGACAAAATCAACAGGGATGATGAATTTGTCTACCTTTACCAATATATCCTCAATGATTCCATAAGCTTGCTTTGAAGAGCGGTCAACCAGTTGTACTATCGTCTTTGTGGGCTTAACTTCAGTAATCCCCAGCTTCTTCATCATGGAGAGTGGCATGACATTGATGCTAGCTCCAAGATCACATAAAACATTATCCACTTCCATTTTGCCAATAGTGTAGGGAATGCTGAAGCTCCCTGGATCCTTGACTTTGGTGGGTAACTTCTTTTGGATGATAGCATTACATTCCTCCGTCAGATTTACCGTCTCACATTCCTGCAACTTACGCTTCCTTGATAATAGATCCTTCATGAACCTTGCATAGTTGGGCATGTTCTCTAAAGCTTCGGCAAAAGGAATGTTAATATGCAATTTCATGAATATGTCTAGAAACTTTGAATGTTGCTGCTTCAGAATCTCTTTCTTTAATATCCGAGGATAAGGGATTCGAGCATATGGGGAGAGATCCAATGGCTTGTTCTGTCTTTCTAGAGCTTTCTTCTTCTCCCACTTGAATAGTTTCTTTTCGGCTTTTTCAGGATTGCTTTTGTCAACTTCAATTGTATCCTTTTCCTTTTTTTCCTTTTCTTCTTCAACTGATGCTTCTCCATCCTTCTTCTTTTCTTCGGGATGCTCCTCTATAGGCTGAATCACTGTCCCACTCCTAGTAGTGATAGCATTGCAATGCTCCCTTGGATTGACAACCGTGTTGCTTGGAAAAGTACCCTGAGCTCTCTCAGTGAACTGTCTTGACAGCTGACCAATTTGAGTCTCCAAATTCCAGATCGAAGCTTCTTGATTTCGGAATGAAGCCCTTGTCTCCTCTCTGAAAGAATTTGAATTCTGAATGTAGTCTGAGGTAGTCTTGGAAAGCTATGCAAAAGCTTTTTCCCATTCTGAAGTGGCACCTTGAGGTGGAGGTTGTGGTTGCAATGGCATATGAGGGTTCGACTGGTAGTTTGAATTGTAACTAAACCCAGGGTGTTGGTCAGGATTTTTCCACCCTTGATTACCATATTGGTTTCTTCTCGGATTGTTCTGGTTCTTTTGATCATACCAGACTCCGTTGACGTCAGCGTTTTCTGGTGCCTTTTAGTTGTTCTCACGTAGTCACAATCATCAGTTGCATGAGCCTCTGCACAAATAACACATTTAATTTGAGAATTACTATTAATAGAAGCAACTTGAAAACTATTAAATTGTTTTGTCAGAGCGTCAAGTTGTGCTTGTTGTTTCTTATGCATTTGGAGCATTTGTTCGTTTTGGGCTAAGATCGCGTAATAGCCGTCAAGCTTCATGATTCCTGCTATTCTTTGTGTGACTGGAGCATTGTCATACTCCTGAGAAGCTAAAGATTCCAACAATTCCAATGCGTCCTCCGGAGTTTTTGTTTTTAATGATCCTCCTACTGCAGCATTCACCAAGGTTCTTGTACTTGGCGTCATTCCTTGGAAGAAGATTCTTGCTTTCTCCCATGCTTCAATGCCATGTTGAGGACACTTTCGGAGTAGTCCTTTAAACCTTTCCCATGCCTCGTACAAAGATTCGCTTTCTTTTTTTTAAGAGCGGTGATTTCCTATTTGAGCCTTGCCATCTTTGAAGCTGAGAAAAATCTAGCCAGGAATTTTCTTGCTAAGTCATCCCAACTAGTTATGCTTCCTTCAGGTTGAGACTGCAGCCAATCGCTTGCTTCATCCTTCAGTGAGCACGGAAATAGCCTGAGCATGTTAGCATCACGAGAACTCCATTCACCTTTAACATATCATAGTAAAGTAGGAAATCATCAAGATGACTGTAGGGGTTCTCTGTGCTTCCTCCAGCAAACTGTTCTTTTTGAATCAGTTGCAGCAGTGCCGGCTTTAGTTCGAAGTTGTTAGCTTCTATGGTCGGTCTAACAATGCTCGTCGTCTGTGGAACTCGGGCTGGAGTCATATAATCTCCCAAGGTCCTTGGAGCGAGTTGATTGTTTTCTGCCATTGGTTCCTCCTTAGGTTCCGTTGAACTTGAGGTTCCTTTTACTTCTTTCGCTTTCTTTGCTTTTGCGTCCTTCCTAAGTTTCCTTTCTGTCTTTTCTATCTCAGGATCAAACTGCAAAATTTGCGGGTTAAGAGTACCTCGCATAAACTAAGATCGAAAACATGAGCAGAAAAAATAGAAAAAGACAAAACAGAAAAATAAAATAAAAAAATAGAAAAAAGAATGCAGAAATTTGAAATATGCAGAAAAATTGATGCAGAAAATATTTTTGAAGAATGTATAATCTAACACCTCGCAATTCTAAATTAAGTATTAAATTATTAAATGAGTAAGTAAGTGAAGGATTAGTGAAAATCCTGAAAATTAAGCCAAAATACAAAGAAAGGGCAAAACAGTAATTAGCCAACAAGCAACCCTAGGAAGATAAAATTTGAGTAGAAGGTCTCAGATGGTAAAAATAACCCTGGAAATGGATTCAGAACGAAAAATTGAGTGGATAGGCAAGTTTCAGAAAAATTAGTGAATAGTGTTTTTACCGGGTCAAAATACCGCGGTACGATTGCACCGTAAAACGTGCCGATTGAGTTTTGTGCTCTAGGTTTCAAATATGAGTTATAAATAGTCTATAGAACTAGGAAATATGATTTCTGATAAAAATTGATGGAAATAAGTAAGTTTGGGGAAGCGTGCCAACGACGCGCGCAACAACTTAAAACAGTGTTTTCTCCGAACGACCGGAAAACTCAGGATTCATCTGATCAAGTATAATTAAAGGAGAATGATTAATTTTAAAAATTAGAGTTTCTAAATAGGTTGTGAATTTTTGGACGTTTAGTGAAATCGGAGGGAAATTCAAATGAATTTGAAATCGTGTGAGGTGGCGGTGGGACCCACCCCACTCAAATCCACTTGAGACACATCACCTCCCCTCACTATTCATCATCTTCTCTCTCCCTCCTCCCTTGCAAAACCGCACCAAACAGCCATCTATCACCATTTTCATCAAAAAAATTCATTTCACCATAACTTGATCGTTTCTCCACCAAATCCATCGATTTTTGTCTTGAAACTTGATGGAAAACACCTTCTAAAGCCATTGATGGTACTCTTATTAAGTCTTGAAACCGTCTCATTGGTGAGTTACGGGCAATTTTCAGTCACGAAATTGTTGAGAAAAATTGATGTTCATGGAGT